TATTTATAATAAGACTGAAGAATAAATGGCATCCACTAAATATTGACATAGAACGACGATAAAAGATTTAAAAGAGTGTAATACGCTTCCATAGCAGCTAATTCAAAATAAAAGTCTGTTTTGTCAGGAAAACGTTGAATCGAACCCAAATGTATTTTTTGTAAATTTGTAATACAGCATTTAAATTGACTGAAATCACCATCGCCATGAGTTAAAGAACCCCATCGACTAAAATAGTTCTGTTAAGAATTGACAGAATGAGTGGGCATAGAATCTAGCAATCTCGACACAGCCCTCATCACATCACTATTACCTTGGTATAAATCTACACGCATGTAAAGATTTTTCAAAGAGCATTCTTTATATTCACGCATAGAATACTTTGAAGCATTTGGGCAATCGTAGTCCAACACACGCAGATTGGTAAGATTCTCACAGATGCCAGAGGTTGCTAGAACTCGTCTCATCTCAGCCTACTTCTATGAGACTTGTCAATGACACTGCAACTCACTCAATGTTAGTATGGTTGAATAATAAAATATTATCAACAGCCAAATGCTATTTATTTGTGACTTCATAATCTGGTCAAATTTAACTCGAACTTTTTTAGACCTTTTTTCAGCCTCTGATAGCTATTTTCAAAGTTGCGAGCTCTGGTAGAGTCGGTAACTGTCAAACTATCAAAGGCAGATGATTCGGACCAGAACTTTTAGTGAAATTAACGTTGCCTTAAAAAAATCTGAATAGTGTAAATAAAATCTGCAAGCGTTAGCGTTCCTTGTATACTTTTCACAGATATTTTTAGTGTACGAGCTCATAAAAAACATGTTTCGTGACATTTGCTTATGAAATGTATTTATTAAAAAGGTTATAGATTGATTAATTGTTGTCGGCCTGTTGCAAAGCATTGGACTTTTTTTATAATTATTTAAATTTTATATGTACACCAGGGCCCTTCACTGCACCAGTGACTTTCTAAAATATCGTGACTCTATTCTTGTTTAATTTCAATGATTTGAACTTAATAGTCACATTGCACAGCAGAGTTATATTCACTACGTACATATTTAATAATGGGTATCTTTCTATCAAACGTTTTATCTGATCGAGGAGGAAAAACCCAGAAGACTTCGTGCGGAAAAGTTTAACATTTAAGGGGCGGGAGCGAATTAACTAAATTAGGGCCACCTACAATTACAGTGTTCGTAGGTGTTCTGTTATTGATGGAAAAGTCAGTCGTAACCGGAATTCAAGAAGCAGTATGCTTTTTTTTATTAACCCAGAAGACATCGTGCGAAAAAGTTTGAAATTCAACGGACGGGAGCGAATTAGCTAAATTAGGGCCACCTACAATTACAGTGTTCGTAGCTGTTCTGTTATTGATGGAAATGTCAGTCGTAACCGAAATTCAAGAAGCAGAATTTTATTTTTTTTGTCGTCTGGTCGTGAAGCCTTCCTTGTATTCATCAGCGTCCTGTGCTGTTATTTATCTCTATCCATATAATATATTGCTACGAACGTAGGCGTACAATCAAAAATGTGTCTTTAGAAAATGCAATGATGTTATCTCAAATTAAATCATGAACATATTTACAAGTCTCCTATTACTAGTTTATTACTTAACATTTAAGTTCTTTTTAAAAAAAAAACCTCTATCAAACCACCACTGAACATTGACAATATATCCTTTATGAATATTTTGTTCATAAGCAGCGCAGATCATCATTTTATTAAGCTGTCAGAGAGATACACAATGTATTTTGAAAAAAGGATATCCAAACACTATACACTATTTATTATGTCTCATTTTCACTACTGAGAGATGAATGATTGCACCAGAGCCGAACCAACGAGCTAGGAAAAGTTAGAAATACATGTACATGTATTGTGCGGCAGTGTAAAGTGTTCTAGCCATCGATGTATCACGAAACTGGTTTTATTGTACAACATAAAAGACGAGAAGGGTACAAACTTATTTAATTTAAACACCAATATGACTCAACTTCAATGTTGTGATTTTATAAACACATGCCTCGCATTTTATCCCAACGGTGCCAATCAGAGGTTGAAACATATCACCTGACGTACGCAAATATTCACTGACCAAATATTTATATATTATCAAATATCTGCTTGAGTTTTCTATGTAAAATACTTTCAAGAACATTTGAGTCCATATCCCGTGAGGTTTTGGGCGGACTTCCAGTTGACAGCAATTGGAATTTCAATGATTGGTAGAAATTTTGCAATTTGGGTACATTGTAGCGACTGCTGTATCAAAATTGCTACCAGGTCCTCGTGGTTTTCCTTTGATCTTGTCATGGACTAGAGCTGTCGGAATCTGTTACCATCAATTTAACCACAGGTGCCAGTAGTCGACCGGAACTCGGATCTACGAGTACGAAACAATCTACCTTTCTTTTTGACTTTTCATTTGTTACCGAATAAACTGAAAATGAATTCCCCGGCTATATTACCCATACATTAACATTTCAGACAAAACATACATCAAGTTTAATTTAAGATATATTTCTAAACCAATTTTTTTTTTTATAGTTTACTGATTTTTTCTCAATACAGGGCCGTAAAAAACATAAAAGCAAATGAGGCAAGTTCCTCAATCCGAATTGGACATACAAGAAATTTTATTTTAAAAATAATGTATATGATACTTGTTAAATATATCGCTTATTTGATTTCTACGGAATTTCTTACTCACTTGTGATTGATATACTTCCACATGTGAAGAGTTCATCAGCTGCTACCAATGTTTCTCCAAAATGTTATTTTGGATTTCGGGTTTCGTTTAGCGGTTCGAATCGTTAGTGCTTTTATTCTACGACAAAGATGGTTACTGTTCATGTCTACCGAAAGCCTTACTATGTAAGGCATAACAACTAACTTCAAATACGGCAGGGTTTTGCCACATAGATAAAAGATCCTAGTTACGATCTGTAATAATGTTATTTGTAATCAATGAGGTGCATATTATGCTTCAAACTTTTGTATTTGATACAAATGCCTTACTAAAGCGAGCCTAATGCTTGCCAAAACTACAAAATTTACCCAAGAAGCCAATGATCCAGATTCGTGATTAATTACAATCAAGACACCAGTTTTCTGACATGTATGTTCATGAAACTGACAGCAACTGGGTCTCCAACGACTCTGATCATTCGCTGGTTTTAGTCAATCTGAATTCATAGTCTGCTTGCAAGCAGATCTCTCCAGCGATCGGAGCGTTTGGAATCTGAGACCATCCAGCTGCTGTTGGTAGTGTTTCGATGATGTTCACTGCGATGGATCCCATGAGATACTGTGGGCATGAGTACACCTTTAAGAATATTGTCGAAAGTTTTGATCAATTCAGTTAACATGGTACTAGCTAGTGACAGCAAATGCCATGCAGGATACAATGAGGCAAATATTACCATGAAAGCGGCATAAGCCTGCTCTTTTTTCGTATTCCCAACTGTCCGGGGATCTTTAACGTGCAAACGGTTTATTGTCCCATCTTACCTACATAACTGACAGGGTAAACCGGGTTGCAAAATCCGAAGGTATCATCTCGACGTATGCCGGGATTGAACCCTTGACCTTCAGGTTAGTGAGCAAGCGTCTAACCCACTGAGCCGCCACTGTTCCCTTGAAAAGAGAGACTATACCTATGATTAAATGATTAGATTCTGATTAAACTCAGTTTATAATTGACGATTTGGTTAAATCATATTGTGAACCTTAATCATTTGTCTTAATCTATTGTATTTTCAGGTCGTGTATACATTTATTCTGTTGTTATATTATTCCAACTGGCGCTGGTCGCTGAAGGTACTCGATATGTTCAAAATTTTGGTAAGTCATTTTACGATTTTACGGTTACTGCTATCATGCAAGGTTTGAAATTTGGTGTATTTAGGGGAGGGCCTTAATTTTCTGAAACATACGAAATCATGGATGTCAACTATCTATCTTGACACTATCGTAGTCTTCAGTGATTCCAATGAATTCACTTTATTGTTGCTCATTGAGCTTGGAGTTTGTTACTTCTAGACCAAGTTAAGTGTAATTTCTGTCTATTATTTGGATAGTAATTAAATGGTGTACAGACCTTTGACAGAAATTGGTTAAGAAAAACCTTGATCCGAAAATATGTTCACGAAAAAGACCAGATCAATATATTATAACATCAATTGTCACCTCAGCTCCTATACTTATATTGGTATTGAATTTCAGAACAAGATGACTTTGGAAGTGAAGGTTTTATTTTAATAACAAAAAAGCCAACCCACTACAATAAGACCTATGGGGGACCAACAACTACCTTACCTAATGTAGGAATCACCACTCATGAACCGAAAGTCACAGAGCTGGAATATGAAGAAGAGTGGCTATTACCAGGATTTGCTGCAGAAGAAGATCTATTAAAGAATCGTGACAAACGTGCTGTTGAAGGAAGTGGAAGTGATGGTATGTACCTAATTCTCTTCATTTCCTTGTGGCTTAGCTGAAATAATCTTAATATTTTGGGACGGTGTACCATACCAAGAGTTAATGCCACTGACTTGCCTGATTTGTAGGTCTAAACAATAAGCTTATAAAAATACATAAAGATTCTACCCTTACTTGTGGAAATATGTATGTTTAGGAATTTGTTCATTTATTGCATAGGCCTTTCGATTTGGTTGAATTCCCAAATTTCCAAGTAGTCATGTTTTGGAGAATTTTTAAATTATAATAATCCTTGATTTGGTGCCGAAACACTGATTAGTTTATATAAATAACAACAATTACGGAAAACATGTACCTTTTTCCCCATGCTCAATCTGAGCCAGTATAGTAGTCCACAGAAATTGCCCATGGAGAAGAAATGATGATCTGAATTATGAAAAAGATTGTATTCTGGATATAGAGATTGAATTTTGGATATACTGATTGTATTCTGGGTATATAGATTGTATACAGGATATACAGATTGTATTCTGGGTATATAGGTTGTATACTGGATATACAGATTGTATACTAGATATACAGATTGTATACTAGATATACAGATTGTATACTGGATATACAGATTGTATACTGGATATACAGATTGTATACTGGATATACAGATTGTATTCTGGGTATATAAATTGTATACTGGATACACAGATTGTATTCTGGGTATATAAATTGTATACTGGATATACTGATTCTATTCAGGGTATATAGATAGTATACTGGATATACAGATTGCATACTGGATATACAGATTGTTTTCTGGGCATATAGATTGTTTACTAGATATACAGATTGTATCCTGTTTGTACAGATTGTATACTAGATATACAGACTGTATACTGGATGTACAGATTATGTACTGGATATACAGATTGTATTTTGGATATACAGATTGTATACAGGATATACATAGTATATACTTACAATAATTCATAATTTTCAATAAATATTTCCAGCACCGGAGTTAAATGCTTGTTTAGGAGTTGATAACACAGAGAGTTTGACTGCTTCATCAAGTCCTGGTTATAATGACTTTAAAACAGCCACAGAAACAGCTGTAAGTTTTTATTACAAATAACTTTGTATCTTGTTGCTAAAAATACAACAAAATAGGGTGATCATATCATATCTGAGGATATGTAGACGGGTTAGCTCAAGGGGGAAAACGATATAAAAACTATCAGCATCAACTTAAAATGTAAAAAGTATAGAAATTCAAGATGGCTGCCGTTACTAAATACTTATAATGCCATTGTTACATTTGTACACCTCTCATACAAAATATAGTTACCCAGAAAGACAATTACTCTATAAAAGACCCAAAACACACATACCTGTTAAGTTATTTGAAGGAAATAACTATGATGAAAAAGGTTGAAGCAGCCAAATCAACTATTTCATAAAGTTTCCTTCTGTTTCAAAGACCAGGATAAAAAGTACAGTTTCTAACTGGATAGGTGATGAAACTCACTGACAACTCACTAAGCTGGCCAATGACAGAAGGTGACAAGGTCTAGTGAGATCAGTTCAGTTAAGAGACTAAGAGAGGGCAATAATAAGAAAATTAGTATTAGGTCAGTGTAAAGTAATTATGTGCTTATTAAAACAGTAGTGGTGCATAAAGATAAGACAACAAATAAATAAAACAACCAAGTTTCTTTAAAAATGCACCCTGCCACAGATACAGACAAACTTCTAATTTTTATAATTCAAATGTTTGTGACAGATAATGCAGAAAAAAAAGGAAGAGCCTTATTTTGCCAGGAGGTTTTCGGGGGATACTACCATTAACTGATATTTGTGATACCTCATGTACCCACATTGTATAGTATTTCTCTATGTTGAACAAAGATATGGAACTATTTAACATCACCATATTTTTTGGACTTTGATTGAAATAAGAACCCAGGACCAAGACTTTTTCATGCAGATTACAAACAAGTATTGGCAGATTATTAACAAGCTTAGACAAATACAAACTAGCATGACCATAAATTTTGGTAGATAAATGCAGATTATAAAAATAGTATTGGCAGTTTATAAACCAGCTTAGACAAATACAAACTAGCATGACCATGAATTTGGGAAGATAAATGCAGATTACAAACTTGTTAAAGCAGATTGTGCACCATCTTGGACAGGTTGTAGCTTAACCCAGCCCATTTCTATTCATATTGGTATTGGCCAAGACTAGAATGGAAGCACAGCAATTTTTTTCATTCTTGATCCTGTACTAAGATGTTACAATGAAATTTTTACCCTATTAAAAATAAGTAACTTGAGACTGGGGGTCAAACCCAGACCATCCTCAATTCTAGGGGTGAAGAAGGAGCTACTTACACATGGTTGTATATTTTTCAGATTCTTAACACATGTAAGGTGAAAGCAACAACATTGTCTAGTGTAGAAGTTCTAGATGTTGAGTAAGTAAAAGCTATTGTCTGTTCCTAGCTATTAGTATACGATATACAGATTGTATACTGGATATACCGATTGTAAACTGGATATACAGATTGTATACTGGATATACAGATTGTATACTGGATATACAGATTGTATACTGGATATACAGATTGTATACTAGATATACAGACTATATACTAGATAAACAGATTGTATTCTGGATATACAGATTGCACTCTGGATATACAGATTCTGCTCTGGATATACAGATTGTATACTAGATATACAGACCGTATACTAGATAAACAGATTGTATACTGGATATACAGATTGTAAACTGGATATACAGATTGTATTCTGAATATACAGATTGCGTTAAAGTAAGGAGTTCAAAATATGACACAATATATTCCGTCAAGTTATGTATAATGGTGATGTACAATGCACATCTCTTCTTACCTTTGTCTAGAAAAGATCCCTCACTACATCCTTGACAAGGACCCATTATTAGGAAAAATACTGAACACCCAAATATACTATAATTGATCAAATCAATAGACAACAGGGCGTCATGAAACTTTTTTAGAAAAAAGGATCATAGAGGGACTAGTTTGCCATTTATTTTACGAATTATACTTTAGCCTCAGACACTGGAAATTTTTAACTAATCGGTTCGTAGCTCACCGTCGAAATAATCGCTTTTGAATGTAAATATATGACGAGTCGTCTTTTCTTCAGAATAAAAGTAAAAATTTTGAGGTACTTTTGAAGGAATTTAGGGCCTCGGTTTATTGTCCCATCCGAACGACTAGACACTTTTTCCATGTCAGCCCCTCTTACCTGCATCACTGACAGGGGGAAACTGGGTTGAAAAATCCAAAGGTATTATCTCGACCTATGCCGGGATTGAACCCTGGACCTTCAGGTTAGCAACTCACTGAGCCACCGTGGCTCCCATACATCTTCTGAGGACTATTTACATGCATTCAAGACCCTAATCAACCCCCTAAAATCTTGAACCTGTCCTGTAATAATTTGGTAAAAACAATCAATAGAGTTTAAAAAATGTGTTCCGATTTAGCTACATTGCAATAACTGGCAATATAAAATCAATGTCTATCAAAAACTTGTCTTCCATGTTTAACTGTTAGCATCATCATTTGGGCAAATGATTAATCAAATTATTATATTGAAATTAAGAACACACTTACTATTTCTAATTTCAGCAAGGACAAGTCAGTCATAAATTTCAAATTTGTTTTCCCGGCATCAACAGATACTAGTAATAGTGCTCAATGCTTACGTGACATACAAACACAAGGTTCCATTACTGTTGGTGATGTCAAGTTCCAAATAACTAAAGATCCCTTGATAGAGAATGGTGCCAACCAGCTTGGTGAGTAATTGTGGATGTGTATTGTTTTCCCTTTGGTCCGTCTGTCCGTCCACAAAGAGCTACAGTCTTGATCCGAGAACATTTGGTGTGATCTTCTTTATATCCAGAAGATCTTGGACAAGTTCGAATTTGAGTACGATTCCACAATCCACTAGGGTATGAAAGTTTTAACCCTCGTTACAATGAAATTATGTTAAATGTCGCATGTGAACAGAAATATTTTTTCGAAGATTATTAAATTTTGTGTCATTGTTTAAATCAACAATATCTTATATTTATAATATTTTTGGTACAATTTGACGACTGCCCTTGATGTACTGAAAAAAGGGAAGTGGGCGTATATTGTTTGGCATCCACATGTATACCTATCAATTTCAATAAATTATGCAAAACCAATGTTTCAACAGTCGTGTTTGATATACGATACTATCATATGTAAGGAATACTGAAAAGTGCAATAAAAATTGTTCATAAAACCTCATTCTTGGGATCAGAAGCTTTTTTATCTTGAACATTATGACCTAAACTGAACTCCTTCACAATTTCCCCCTACTAGTAGCTAATAATTCTATATATAGTGAAGGTCACCATAGGCTTTATTTGGACTGGCCTACTGTAAGCCTTCCTATTTTAGACTGCCAGTTTATGATGAAGTTTATTGTTATTTTTCAAAATGTTTAATTATTTTTTTAAGTTGCTGCAATTTGTGAGTTGTGTCCTGCTCAACAACAGTGTATTTTGAATGTAGCTGGCTTATACTTCTGTGGGTAAGTTGAGAAATAACAAGCCTTAAAAATGGCTCAGGTCTACCTTCTGATTAACTGAATCTGAGAGCAACTGTATTGTCAACGACTGCTAGCTTCTGGTGACATCTGGTAGAATCTGATCCACCGATGCAATTGGGAACCTGAGCTCACCAACAGTCACCAACAGTTGCTCTTGTTCTCTTTTCGAGCAAAATTGCTCTTTTTGATGACCTAAGTGATCGAAATCTGCTTTATTGTATTTCCTCTGGATATGATAGTTTCTCTATTTTGATTGCGACTCATCTGAAGAGCATAGTTCAATAACGCGTAACCTTGATCTTCTAATACCTTTAAAGTTAGAGACAGATTCAGTAAATGTAGCAGAACAGTGTAGAGACAGCAGCAATATTGTATTTTTACGCACTGGCTATTTGCATCGTCACGATGCATGTTCTCTATGTCTGTTAACAACGTTACAGATAAAAAAAAAAAGATACACTAGGCGCGTAGTTTTTTTTTTAAAGCGTGAAGACATTTTGATTGTCAAGAATGATATTAAGTGACTTTGTTAGGTTTTTTAATGCCCATTTTTATACTGTCGCGGTGCGAATAGCCACTGTCATATTTTTATTGTAACATTCTCAACCTGATAACTATCTTGTCTAACAAATTTAATTTTTTGTATTTTTTCTTTTTGTATTGCAGAACAACTGGTAAGTTTAAAGCCGATGATTTCACAGCCTTGAGTTGATTTGGATTTGAATTTCTGGTGTCTGGAAGGCCGTGTTACCAATGGTAGACTTCCACAAACCCAAATTGCTTCTCTGTTTTTTGTATATAAACTTGTTTTGTTTTTGCTAGTAACATCCGATCTTGCTTCTTTACTTTTTTGAATTTCTTGAATGGTATTTTGGTTTTACCAACTTAAATAAAAGTTCTGTTCACAATATTAAACCCAAACTTCCTCGAGATTGATATGATTTTGTATTGTACATGTTACTATATTTAGAATTATACAGTACAAGTCAATCTGATTCGAAGCTACCTGACGGTGAAGACTCTGTTGGTACTCTTACTATACCATCCAAAATACCCTATGGCTCTTCACTACACAATGAATTCTTTGTAAGTTGGTCAACAATTTTTAACTTTGAGCATTTGTAAAGGTATTTTTCGGAGAGATTTTCACGAATTCTGGAAAGAAATCATGTCATTTGCAACTCCTATGATGATCAATCCAGGATCCAGATTGTCAAAACAAGGATAGACCCTAAGCTTTCTGTAACAGTTCCATAGCTGCTCAAAGAGCAGTTATGCTTATTGCATATAATTAAGAGTTTTAACTAATCATAAATGTCCATGTAAGTACAGTCTGGATAAACAAAAAAAACTTTTTGACCTTTCTTGGTCGGTCACTCATTGGAATTCTGCTGGTAATTCTCTTTTAATTTAGCTAATTATGAATTAATTATCAACATGTGAGACAAACTGGTATTTTTCCAAGTCATAAGAACACCTCTACTTTCTATTCATATAAGTATTTTCATTTTCATTTTCATAAATGAAAATAAGGGAACCCATCTTTAAAATGGATAAGAATTAGTTCAATTGAACTCTTCTACCTGAATTAGAATGACTTATCCCATTGCATAGGCAAATCTGAATAAAATTTAAAAGTATGCTTGATGTAAGTTTTTTGTATGAATTTTCCCTTCTGACATTTGATTTATCAATATATTTTCCAGATATCTTCCAATGGATTTTTAAGTTTAGTGAAAACTGCTGGACCTAAGAGTGCTTCACTTGATAATGTTACATATGACATCTTGGCTGTAGCTTGGACTGATCTGGATGCAGATATAAATGGGGATATATTCTATCAAGCACATACCCTTACGGAATCTATTTCGGTAGAATCACAAGCTGTCTTGACCAGGGCATCTTTAGATGTTCAAAACTTTGCACCCAAAACTTCATTTGAGGCAACAACTGTTATAATTGTGACATGGAAAGAAATATCTAAAATATATGAAACTGCTTCACAGGTGAGTGAACTTCTTTTTGACAACAATTTTCACATGCCGATTGAGATTAGAACACACAACCACCATTTGTTCGACGTTACCAAACGTCATGGAAAGAACCAAGGCTCTTACAAAATGTGTTACAGAACCTCTGAATACCGAGAGTTGCTCTTATATTGCCCGAATTGGACAATAATTTTCATGAAAAATATACGTTTTGATTTGACTTGCAGATGTGATGAATTTTACTATTAGTTTTGGCAAATCATAGGATTAGATCGCAAAAGAGGTCATTTTGACCTTGATACAATGCGATATTACTTAAATTGAAAATATTTAAATACATTAGGAGGAAAGTTTTTATGTAAGATTTTTTAAGGTTGTTTCAAAGCCAAAAGGGGGGTTGGGGGTTGTCACAAGGGGCAGCCGCCGCCCCCCTCGCAGCCTGGAAAGCAAGTTTTTAGCGCATAAATCCTATAACTAGGATATTTCGACCCCCTCGGACGTTTCACTCATAACATTACAGATTGTGTAGGAACACTGCCATGTAAGATTTTACTCTATATCCCATCTCTTTGATATAAAAGCCATTGGCCTCTCTTCAATATATTATTTTATTTTAGCATGCAACATTTCAACTGGTATTGGTAAGTGATGGTTTTGAAACCTACGCTTTGTATTTTTATGGTGATAATACGTGGGCAGAGACCAGTAATGTAGTAATTGGTTTCAGAAATGATCAAGGTTTTACAGTCAATGAATATTCTCAAGATCCACTGATTACTAGTATGAAATCATTGAAGGGAAATACAGGTAGGTTCATAGTATACATATCGAGGGTGACCGCTTGAAACTTCGTATATGCCATATTTGGTCATTTTGACTTTTTCCGTTCGGAAGCTTGTAAAAGAGCAGATCTTGTGATCAAAACCTCTTATTCCTAAGTTGGTTGTAAATACACAAAATCATTAATTATATAACACGTATATTAACAATCAGATTTAAAACCGTGTAAAAGATTATATAATATACACGGCATCAATCTTTCAGAAAATCCTTGTATACGAGAGTTATGGGTGAATAGGTCAGAGTACTAAAATTATTATACCAGGTTT